CCCAGGTTGGCCAACTTGCCAGCGTGCTAGACAAAACATTTGGCAGCTGCCGTCGAGCGCGCCTTGAGCATATTAAAGGATTTTGCTGCCTGGCTGCTTCACTGCTTCACTGCCTCACTACCTCCTGCCATGCTGCCATCCTGCCGCTAAGAAGATAAATGATTATTTTGAGCAATGCTAAAATAATAGACGTGGCGCATCTTTGCCCGCCGACCGCCTTAAATTTCTAATTAGTTGCCCAAAATGCGAGCTGTAAAGTGCACAAATACTTCTACATTCTTTATTTATGATTGTTTCCCTCTTTTGGCCAGGGCCTCGAACAATTTCCGAGACATTACCAGCTGCCAGCTGATGTTGTTGGTCTTTGTCGCCTTCGAACATCTTTATAATGCTTATATATTTACACAAGTATATACATACATACTACATTTTAAGGCACGACTAAGCAAACCAAGCCAAGCCACGAGAATGCTCTTCCAACAATAAAGCACTTGGGCAGAATGTGACACCTTGAGAGCAAAACTATGTAGAGCGCTGTATTTCAATGAAGACTGATAGTAGAGCTAGAAGATAATCGAATAAAATACTTGCCGAAATACTTGCTAAATCGACTCATCTCTTCATACTTCATTCAGTATACAAGTATAATCGTATGTACAAAATATACAATATATCTTTATTTATTTTATCATTACTTCCCAGTGCTCCAAGAAGAATTCTTATAAATTAATGCACAAGTCACAAACCATAAAGTTTCTTTGATCAAATTTAAAATGATTTGATAAACCTTCTCAAGCTATTTTATAAAATGTAGAGTTAAATTTAATGGATTTTGTTGTACTCCGAACATGTTATATTGTTAGTTGAATATTCTTTAAGAACAAATTTAATTAACTTAATCAGCAGATAACAGTTTTGTTTCCACTATAAAGCTTTCCAGATAGGCTCCATCGTTCCTTTAGTAAAAATTATTTAGCATTTTATTTTAAAAGAAATTGAAGAACAGGCAATTTTGTATAATATTTTATTCTAGGAACTTACATTTATTTTCCTACCCTTGATCTCATCTAAGCACATTACAAATAAGTGATATATTTTAGAGATGTCTTGAGTAAATCTGGCGAAATTTTGTTTTTCAATGTGCATAATAATTTGAGACTTTAGTTCTTTTTTTAAATTTAATTGAAAAGTGTGAATTATTGTGAAATATTAATTGAAGGGTGTAGTCAGGAGAAGGCTGGCAGGCAGCAGAAGGCGTGGCAGATCTTAAGCAAATATTCTGTTTATAAATTTTGTTCAATTTTATTATCATTTATTTGTTTATTTATGTCAACAAACTTTGACTGTCCACATAGGAGGAAATAAATATAAAAATTATACAAATCATCGTATAAGCTAGAAAAGCCTAAGAAGGAGAAATCTAATCAAATAACAATAATGTCTTCTGATATTGTAAAATATTATAAAAATCGATGCACTATAATACATATATAGCTGCTAGAAATCAAGCTTTGTGCCAACAACTCTTCGGCTTATTTAGATATTATTTTTAAGGAAAACGATGACTCATAAAACAATGATTATTCTTCAAGTTTTTGTTTTTTAATCAAAAATAAAACTCAAGCTGCTATTTTACCTGAATGTATATATTTTAAGAAATAATATTTATTTATTATTTATTCAAATTTGATAATAACACTTATAATTAATTATATCAGTCCCTGCTGAAGTGTTTTTGAAATCGGCTGACTATATCATATAGCTGTCATACGAATAACTGGTATACCAATGTTTATTTTCGTTGAGCGCGAAAAGTCTTGGGTAACGTTCTACTCCTTAATTGCTTATTATAATGGAAGAAACTGCTAGACTACATATTACATTTCATTTATAATTCATGCCGATCTCTTCAATGTATTTTCTTTCTGACTTTGAATTCATTATTGAAACAACAGTTGTTTGGTAATTAATTAAAATGTTGAATTACAAGTATGTTTTAAACCTTTTGTCGAAACTTTCTCACAAACATTCATGCGAGCTAAGAACTCTCTCTCCCCATGGTGGTGATTGATGGAGAATTCAAAATTGGAAGCAAACTAATAAGTAGTTCGCGTATGTAAGTGAATATCTAAGCAAAATCAGGAAAAATAATCTTATAAGCCACGCCAAGTAAATTCTGCAAATAGGAGCGAAGAAGCAGAAAAGGGAAGAGAAATGTATTTAAAGAGATAAACGAAAGAGCAAGAACAAGAGCAAGAAGTTTTGGCAAACTTTTGACCTTTTTTGGTTCATTGACACGCCGGCTTGTTGCTCTGCTTGTCATATTTATTGTTGTAGTTCATAATTATTATTGTTGTTGGTGCTGTTCTGCTTGCCACTGAAGCAGCAGCAGCAGCATCGGCTATCGTTGGCATCTATCTATTCATTTTTCTCCATCTATCTAAGTGTTAATTTTCGTTCGCCTCTTTCTGAGATATGTTTGGTTTTTGGCAAAAATATTTAACAAGCTCTCAGATTTGCATTAAACATAAAAATTAATTAAAAATTCGCAAAGAAAGCAGCGGTCTGCTTCGACTAGGCGCATTCCCTTGCCACATACACGCACTCGTATGTACATTGAATACACATTCGAGTATTTCTCAGATACAGATACAGATACACGCTCACGCCTTGTCGAGCAGCGCCTCGAAAGTTGATTCAACTTGAGTTACATTTGGCTTCGACTTAAGTCGTGGACGTCAAGGTTCAACGCACGCCAGCATTCTCGGGCAAAAGGGGCAGGGGCAGGCAGTGGCAGCAACAGCCTGTGCAAATTTTTACGCATCTGCCAAATACACAAACGGTGGCAGACACAACGGTAGAATGCGTGCGGCAGCGAATGCGTAAACTTGTCAAGTCATGCTGGCCTGAAATACATACAACATTGTATCGGAAATTTCACTTTCGATCTATCGGAATGGCAATCAGGCTCATTAACTGATCCACTGAGCAGGAAATACTTATTTCCCGAGCAAAAATAAAACTTCATTATAATATAATGAATGATGTATTTTATGTATGTTAATATAATATATTGTATAATTATTCACGAGCAAATAGAAAAATATGTATGTTTGCTTATTATGCTTTTTTATTAGATAGTTATTTTACTTAAAAAATTTTTAATTTTTTAAAATTTATTTTATTTATTTTCTAGTTGTATTTTTCATTTATTTTAATCTTATTTTAATTTTTTGTAGTTTTATTTTTACTTTATTTTATGTTTATTTTATTTTTATTTAATTTTTTTCTAGTTGTATTTTTCATTTATTTTAATCTTATTTTAATTTTTTGTAGTTTTATTTTTACTTTATTTTATGTTTATTTTATTTTTATTTAATTTTTTTCTAGTTGTATTTTTCATTTATTTTAATCTTATTTTAATTTTTTGTAGTTTTATTTTTACTTTATTTTATGTTTATTTTATTTTTATTTTTTTCTAGTTGTATTTTTTATTTATTTTAATCCTATTTTAATTTTTTGTAGTTTTATTTTCACTTTATTTTTTGTGTTTATTTTATGTTTATTTTATTTTTATTTAATTTTTTATTTATTTTATTTGTTTTCTACTTGTAATTTTTTGGTTAATTTTAATGTCATTTATTTTAGTTTTATTTTTACTTTATTCTTATTGCATTTTTAGTTTATTTTTAAATTATTATTATATTATTTCTTTTTCTTTTCTTTTTATTATATTTTTAGTTAATTTTTATACCCTGTACCCAAAGGGTACAAGGGTATATTAGTTTTGTGCGAGTGCACATGGAACACACAGAAGGAGGCTTGGTAGACCCCACAAAGTATATATATTCTTGATCAGCATGACAAGCCGAGTCGATATAGCCATGTCCGTCTGTCCGTCTGTCCGTCTGACCGTCTGTCCGTCTGTCTGTCTGTATGAACGCAAGGATCTCCGAAAGTATAAGAGCTAGAATAACCAAACTTGGTATACAGATTCTCCTGAGACCGAGAAAGGACAAGTTTGTTCATTTTTTCTGATCCAACCCCCCACTCCCCCCCTATTACCAATTTTCTATAACTCCCATAATTCTTGGAATTTTAAACTTAAATTTGGTAGTCACATTAGGTTAGTAATTATATATCCGTATACCAAGTTTCATTATGATAGAATGATCAAAAAGAAAGTTATAGCCATATAACCAGGCCCAATGCACACATACATACATATGTACAAGTACACAAACACGCATAAGGCACGATTCTGATGTAAATGTAAATGTATGTATGCATGCATGGAATATTTTATATTTAATTAGTTAATATTTAGTTAATTAATTAAATTAATTTAGTTAATTAATTAAATTTAATTAATTAATTAATTAAATTACTTTTTTGTGGGGTGGTACAGGGTATTTAAGAGTTGAGCCTGCTCGACTTTAGCATTCCTTTCTTGTTTAAATATATTTTGTTTTTAGTTTTATTATACTGCTATTCTTCTTGAAAATCCTTATTATACTTCTTTTTTGAGAAGAGCAGACAAAAAGCGCAGATTAAAGTCAATCCCAAAATATTCCTCAATTATGAAAATAAAGATATATAACTGCCAGTTGTGGGCATTCAGAAACTCTAGGAAGGCTTTAAAGTTCCAGTTTGTTGCTTACACGCGATGTTGAAGGCATAACAGAATGTATGAACGCAACAATCTCGAAAAGTATAAGAGCCACCAAACTTGGTGTACATATTCCTCCAATCTCTGAGCATTTTGCCAATGATATACAAGTATAACAATTTGCAACAATTCCTACCAATTTGTAGTTGTATTTCTCTGGTGGCGATTGGAGTCTAACAGACACCCAGAAAAGGTAGAATATTGACGAAATGTGACCGTCTTAGCTCTCAAATAGATTGCTTAAGCGGCCAGCAGCAGTTAGTATCTAAATACAAATACATGATACTATTTTGAGATGAGTACGGATTTAAAGAAAGATCGAAAAAATAACTAAATTCTCTATGGTTTATTGCACCTTGTTCTATATTCAGTGATGATGAGTGGACGTCGCGACGGTAGGTCAGTCGGCCAGCCAGTTAGAAGCTACAAGTAATAGTCGGGGGGTCCCCTTCTGGGTGGTGGTCGATGGTCGGACGTAGAATTGCGGTTCGGAAATAGAAAGCCATAATCATATCTTGACCTCCCCGGCAGTGCAGCTGTCTGTGTTGTAACCTCAGAGGAGTTCCCCTTGATCACTGGGTCCAAGAGCTCCTTACGGAACCGGGTAGCGATTTCCGAAACTTTCGGCACAAGGGTGCTAACATCGCCCTGGAGAGCAGCCACCAGTGTTTCTGGTTCTATGCAAATGTTGGACACTTTCTTTGTATTGGAATTCAGCAGATTGATGATCAAGGTGTCCTCGGTTAGGCGACCCAGCAACAACAACACGTTATTGTTGCTCACATAGCGCAGTTCATAGTTTGTCTCATCATCGTTCCAAAGCTCCGGGAGCAGCTCAGAGCCGGACTCCTGCTCCGGCACGGTCTTATCATCCCCAATGCCCACGCAATAGGCGTGATAGTGCTTAGTCAGCAAGAAATGGGCCAGTGCCATCAATAGATCAGCCTTCTTATTTAAATGACTCTGAATTGTCTTCAGCAGCATGTCCCAGCCGTAGAAGAAGGTTCCAAACATATGGGACTTGGAAGCCATAGTGAACTGATTTGGCGGGAACGTGGTGGCAATTAGTGAGAATGAAACATGTTTCAAGACCTATACAAAACTTATAATTTGGCAGCGATGTGTGGAAAAACTTGGACTTTTTTTTTAGAAATTATTTTTGGTGAAACATTTTTCAAGACGTACACGAAACTTCTGTTTGAGTTCAGTTGGCATTTTTGATGATAAGTGTTTTCGTAAATCATTAATCTTTATTTAGGATCTGTGCTAGCTAGAACAATTATTAGATTTTATGATAACCTGGGAAGTTTTCAATCAAAATATCATCAGTTCTTATGAAATAGGAATTTCAATTAGGGATTATGGGCATTACATTCAAAATCCTCAATAAAATAAAGTACTAAATAGCTACATATTTTAGAAAGTTTCAAATGTCTGTGAAGAGGGACCTCAAAAGTATTAAAATACTTTTATTAATCGCATATATGTAGTATATGGAAATATATTTAAGCTATGAAAATAAGTTGTGGAGAGTTTTAACATTTGAAGACTTCGACGGATTCGAAATTCGTTGAAAGGGAAATAAAATTGGTTTGGAGTTTGTTCACATTTGGTTTCAATTTTATGGAGCAGTATTTCAAAATAAATTGATAGATAGTTCTGCTTCTTACGTACGGATGATTCAGGAGTCATCAACCATTTATTATTTCAAAAGAGTTTGATAATATACGACTGAAAATGTTTCAGGACTACACAAAATGTTTAGTACAACTCTGAGCGGCCAATTTCCTCTTCATTAATCGCACTTTGGCTCCAGATCCGTACTATTATCGACAAGTCTAAATATTCCCAAACTGACATGGAATACTTAGACGTGTCGAGGCTTATGCGGAATGTGGTCCGATTCCGATAACAACTATAGTGATGAGAGCGATAATTACGAACCATTTCTGGAGACCTTTTTGAAGCTATGCTTTAAACTAATGCATTTCGAACTTGTTTACAACGTCTCGAACAGACAAATAATTAAACAAGAGCAGTTAATGAATAATTTATTTATTTGTTTCTTTGACTCGACAAAGCCTAACAACTTAGCAAGCTTTCCAATAACTATAGAACCTTAAAACAAATTTCAGCCATTAGTGCAAAGAGTTTTATTTCACGATAACGTACAGCATTTAGTTAGCAAAAATATCTAGTGAATTATTATTATTTTTTTTTAATCAGGTAAAAAAGCTGTGGTGTCGATTTCAGGACATCGTTAATATGCTTTCCTAATCGTAATCCCTCAGTGGACAGCATGTCGGCAACAGCAGGCTCGGTTCCGCCGCCGGTATCGTGGGCTCAGCGCAACGATCTGGTCTTCCTCATCATCGACGTGGAGTGCAAGGACATGGAACACAGGGTGACCGAGGAGAGCTTTACGTTCAAGGGTGTCAACGCCTTGGATGAATCGAAGAGGTACGATGTGACATTGCATTTTTTGCACTCGGTGGATGCGGAGAAGGCGACAAGCAAGAATATTGGACGCTGTCTAGAGTTTACAATACCCAAGAAGGAGAGCGGACCCTACTGGCCCACCCTCACCACAGACCCGACCAAATTGCATTTCCTCAAGGCGAACTTTGCCAAGTGGCGTGATGAGTCGGACAACGAGGACGACAACGACGGTGTTGCCACCGATCAAGGCATCCTTGACAATTTAAGGAACAACTCGAACGCCGGCTGGAACAATCAGCTCGATTTGGACGATCTGCGGGATTTTAATTATTTCGAAGGGGTTGAGGATGACATCGATGGTAATACTCCCAGCCCCTCCCAGGAGGATGATGAGGACAACGATAGCAACGTGGATGGCGACAATGAGCTTTAGGCCGTCGCTTAGAGCGGCACTCTCATTACTTTCTGGACGAGTATTCTACTGATTAGTCAACAAAACAAATAGGAAATGCAAGCACACACACCCACACACTGAAAAAATTCCGAAATTCCGAAAACTGATCACAACACTCTCGGCGCTTACGAAAAAAAAAAAACCATTTACTTGTATATTTCTATACCCTGCACCCAAAGGGTGAAAGGGTATACTAGTTTTGTATCGTGTTAATAAAGATAAAGAAATATATTATTGGAATTTTTTTAATGTGACAACACTGGAGAAAACTATCGCTTATCGAATAGAAGACAAGACCGCAAATGTATTAGAGTTTTAATTTTCAAAATTCAATTGACTTTCTAACTATTGTTTTGTGAGAGCAACTCTCAACTTACTGGCATCATAATTTTACCCTTTACTGTAATGGAAGCCAAATCAAATATTGGGAATGTTCTTTGTATGTACAATATATTTAAATATATAACTAATGAGGAGGGTTGATGAACACACAATTTTAAATTGCTTTCTTATGAACGTTTAAGAACTAGCGTACTAACTCAAAAGTAAACTAAACTTGTAACGCTAGGATAGAGATCTCAAATAAATAAGTAAAAAAAGAAGTACGGACACAAACGGCTATAGAAAAGATAGTCAGTTAAGCGAATACAGCTTTCTAAAAGTATTTATTTTTTCATCCAATGTTTTCCATATACCTTAAGCATTTTATAATAATTATGCAATTTTCATTATTATATTGCAGTCCCCGATTGAAAACTGATGTTAGTATTTTAATATTTTCCCTCTGTACGAAATGATTTAGTTTTTGAAGAGAAAAATCGTTTTAGACAAGTTCGTCTGTCTGTATGAACCCAAGGATCTGCGAAAGTGCATATACATAGGTGTGTATGTATGTGTATGTAGGAGAAGCTTAGTAAGCTACTAAATAGAATTTAAATATTTTTATTAAAAAAAATTAAACCAGAGCTTGATGTTGCAACGCGTTAAAACGCAAGGAAATATCTAAACTTGCATATATTTTAAATTTTCAACAAAAAACAAAACAAGGAGTAATCATTATTTTATGAGTTTTTTAATTTATTATAATTTTTCTTTTTTGCTCAAAAAAATGTTTTTTGGCAGAGTTGTAAAGTAAGTATTACAAGTATAACTCAAAATTAATCTAATTAATTCTATTGTAGGAGAATGAATGAAATTTCAAAATATTCACCATTTTATAATAATTATAATAAGACTTATAATGATTGCAGTCCCTGCTTCAAGCATATGGCAGGCATTATTTTAGCAAGTTACTTTAACGGCGCTACCAACCAAGGAGCTGCCTTATTTTAAAACACATTCATATCTCACGTATTTCGTTGCTAATTTATTGATTTTATTGCGCAACTTCAGCTCAGGGCTGGCCTCATAATTCTAATTACAACTTGTTCTAATTTTACGAAACTCGGCGTTCGTCTTTCCTGGCTACCTGAGAAAACTGACAGCAGCAACAACAACAACAACAACAGCAACAGCAACATAAATATTAAGTTTGCGGTGTAAGCTGAGGAGCGGAAAGTTTCAACACAATTTTTGGCAGTGGGCGTTATGTTGGCCCTAAACGAAAATTTATGACGAACCCCGACTGCAAATTGCAAAACAATTTCGGCCAAAAAGAAGCGACTGCGACACTCAAAATTAAAGCTAAAGCTAAAGCCATACCCATACATAGATACATTATATTGTAGACATACAGACATACATACGATACCCGTACTTGTGGCTCATTGAGTCGAGCAGAAACTGCTGGCGGGTCAGAAACTGAGCGTTCATGCGAATTTCACTGAGTATTGGCTATTGGGGCATTGGGCAAGGGGCGAATGGACAGAGCGTATCTATCAGATACATTGTGCCGCGCATAAATTAGTCGCATTTGTTTCGCCCAGCAATGAAGAAAAAATGCGTCACGGCTTGCGAATTTTTTTTTCCATATTTTTTTTTATCTTTCTTCACCTTTTTCATTTGGCACATAATTTTACATTCGATTTCCTCAATTAGCTGCAGGAGACGAACGCACAGCTGCGTGTCTAAGATCTATAGGTATAGGAAAGTACACTGAGAGGATGCGGTTAGCCATATGCTCGTAGTATTTGGAACAATCGATATTCGGGCACACTTTTAAGGAGATCGTCTTGCCAATAAAAGCAAATCAATTCAATTGCCAACTCGAGTGATCATGATATAAAATTATGACTACATTTGCATTCTAAAATCAAAGCCTTAACTTTTATAATTGATTTGGATTCCTTATTGCCACATTATAGTGAAAGCTTGCGTTTGATTGATCTACGTACCTTGCAAGATTTACAAGCTACTGATGGGAGAAATAAATTCGGGCAACCTTATACATACTATCGTAGTATTATTATTATTATCGTATAAACTTCGTAGTACCGGTCATCAACATTTGGAGCGCTGTACTTCAAATTTTGCATTTCACTCTCCTTTTCGTGTTTTGTGTTCTAATTATAAATCACTCTACCATAGAATCTCGTCTAATCAATCCCCTAGAATATTTAAGATTAGAACCGTATTGCTGCATTTCTTTTATATTAAATTCTGTTTCATAATATTTCAAGATTTTTCTTTGTTGTAAAAAATGGCAGTATTATTTGCTATTGATTTTCAAAAAATAAAATAAAATAAATAAATGAATAAAGAAAATAAATAAAATTAAAACAAAAAACAAGAAAAATGAATACAATAAATAAAACAGATAAAATAAATAAAATAAAATTAAATAAATAAATGAAAATTAAGTAAATAAAATAGATAAGTAAAAGAAATAACTAAAATTAAAAAAAAAACAAAATATGAATACAATAAATAAAATAGATAAACTTAATAAAATAAAATTAAAAAAAATAAAATAAATTAAATAATTAAAAAAACAAATAAAAAAATAAAATAGATAAAATTTATAAAATAGATAAATTAAATTAAATAAGTAAACTAAATAAATTAAAAAAACAACAAATAAAATTAATAATTAATCATAAATAAAATAAAATAGATAAAATGAATAAAATAAAATAAATAAATAAACAAATTAAAATGAATTTATCTCCACATTTAAATTAGCGGTTTCGATGGTCATTCCTAATGCTTGATTCTTGTTTAACAAAGCATATAATCAATCCTTCAAACACTAAATTCGTTATTATTTTTATTTTGAGCATCCTATCAGCTGTCTAAAGAAGAGGCAAGCATCAGATCTTATAAGTAGAAAGCATTATGTGCCTCTTCCAGTTGTTGTTTATTGTATTCTTGTTATATTCTTTGCTAAATCTGGATTCATTTTAGAGTAGAAATCAGAAGAGTTTTGGGCATTCGTGAAGTCACATTTCCTGCTTTAACAATAATAATAAAAAAGTACAATTATTTTTGAACATTTTGCTATTTATGGTGAGATATTTTATTTAGTAATAATATAAGAAAACGGAAAAGAAAAATTTAGACATACTACTATATTGAATATCAATCAATTAGGTATGTATATTGTTCCCCACTTTAAGCCGATTTTGGGTTAAATTTCTCAGTCACATTAAATTTTTTATTTTTTTTTTTTAAACTAACATCAGTTTTTTTTTCAGAGTGTATCTAACAAACTGTACATGTGTGTATGTCTGTTTAAAATTTGCAAAATGCGCGAGACAATTAATCAACGCACCGGGGCATCTGCCAGGCTTGTGCAGAGAGCCCAAGACCAAGTTCCGCAAATTGGGTCAAAGTCTTTCTTATTTCTGTGCCTTTTCTTTTTTTTCCATTTGGGTTTTTTTTTTTTGCAAACTTTTTGGCAAATTGCGGTCGTTTACCGCTGAAAACAGAAACAGCCCAGCTGAGTAGCAGGCCAATAGACACAGGTGGTGCTGGTGTGGGCCAAAGGGAAGGGGCAGGGGCAGGGGGAGGGAGAGGGGTGGGGGCACCGGTTAAGGCTCCCCAATTGTCGCCGACCAGCCGACTGGCCGACTGGCCGACTCGTTCTCGTTTTCGGGCTTATCGCTCGCATTTGATTGAAACTAACAATGTGTGAGAGCGTTTGCAAATTTTATGCGTTGTCTTTGCTCTGATTTCTGTCGCCGATTTGCGCAAGTTGTCGTTCTCGTTGTTGTTGTTGTTGTTGTTGTTGTTCGGACCGTTCGCCGATATCTTTGGGTTTGCATCGAAACGGCGTTCAAACGTGTGACGCGACGCGACGCGACGGGGTCAATGCGCCGTTCCGCCACTCGTTTCGCTCACATTGTACAACAAGCGGCAAATGTATCTCAAATTATTAGATAGATTTCTGTCCATGGCTGGTGATAGCCTGCGGCGGCCTCATCACATCATCGCATGAAAGCGGACCCCACCCCCCTCCCCCACTCGACCCCTCCTCGCTCTTCTGCTTCACAGCGTTTAGTGCGCGGCGGGTGGCGCGTTGCGAGCTACGAGCTGCGTGCCACAAGGATCGTGGGGCAGGGGGCAGGGGCGGCGAGGGGGCCACGCTTAAGCGCGTTTAAAATTCAATCAATATGAGGTTAATTACAAATTTTTCGCTTGTTTTTTCCGCCTCTTCTTCGCGTTGTTGTTGTTGTTGTTGCTATTGTTGCGATTCTTGGTAATCACTCGAAAGTTTTCCAGCGCATGCTGAAAATATTTTTATACATATATGTGTGTGTGTGTGTGTGTGTGTGTGTGTGTGTACGAACACTAATTGCGAAGGCAATTAAATTAGGACGTTTACCAATCCAACCTTAATTGCAAAGACTCTCAAACTGTGAAGCTCTTTTTAAAATAAATAGCTGAGTTGAATTCCTATAAAGAGTTCTATATACAGATATAGAGTTCTATATACAGATATAGAGTTCTATATATATATATATACAGGGTGCGCCATCTTTTATGTCGGTATGTAAACATTGAATATCTTTGAAAATAAACAACCGATTTTCAAGTATGAGATATTTTTATTTAATTTGGTTCTGCACAATTTCTTGAACTGAGGTTTTCAACACTGGTCTACTCAAGTCAATCGGTTCACTAATGACAAAATTATTCAATATTTACATAGCGACATAAAAGATGGCGCACCCTGTATATGCCATACAATCATAATTCAATAAATATTTGCCATCCAAAGGCTCTGCCAGAAATGGCTTGAAAGGGAAATGAGATTTTAGATTGAAATTATATAGTATTTCAAGCATTAGC